ATTTAGATTCAAAATAATAAACAAACGTCAAGCAGTTATGGAAAGCAGAAGAATAGTGGACTTGCCTAACAAATACTTATAGAATAAATAACTAAATATAGACAAGAACAACGGTAAATTTTCTATTTGGACGAAACTTGGTATGACACTCACGACACAGTTACGAAAGGGTGGACTGATGGTTCAAGAATGTGTACATCTAACGTGCCTGCAAACAAAGGATCGCGACTAATTATTGTGCATTGCGGAGGAAGTAAAGGATGGGTTCCGAATTCTTTTAAATTATGTGGAAAAAACTTGAGGACTGCATTGTTGACTATCATAAGAACGTGGAAGCTAATATTTTCGAGGAATGGTTTCAAAACATATGGATCCCATATTTGGATGCGAATAGTGTAATAGTAGTTCATAACAACACTTCTTATCATTCTCGACAGCTCATCAAAGTACCGAATAAAAATTTGAGGAAAGATGAAATACAAAGTTTTTTAATGGATAACAATTTGCATTTTGAAGATTACTACACCAAAAACTAACTACTTGAAGTTTTACAGACAAAAACATTGGAAAAAGTGGATGCCTTTGATAGTATTGCTGAGACCCCATACTGAGACTTCCCCCTATTTTTGTGTTCTCAATACCATCGAGTTGATTTGGGGAAAATTGAAACAAAGCATCAGGCGTAAAAATAATTTTCCAAAATTTGATAAGTAGGTAATAGAGCTAATTAAAGAAGAAGTATCTAATATTACCGAAGAAGACTGGCAGACAAGGATTTGAAAAGTAGTTTTAGTTGAAAAAGACTATATGGAGATTGGACACTTCCATATTAATGGTGGAAATAAATTCATTATTGATTCAAATACCTGTGATGCACTGTTTGGAACCTTTGGTGTAGTAGTTAATATTACTGGAGTTTTTTCCCAACACCAAACCGTTATTTTAACACCTCGATACGTGTTTCGACCACTAAGTAATCATCTTCAAGAGGAAGATCAAACAGTTTGATCTTCCTCACCAGGGTTCTCGAATCCTCGTCCTCGTCCTGATCTTTCCGCTTTGGTTCAATTTGAATTCGTTGCCGAAAATCGCTTAACGACATAATATAGTAATAGGCTGAAAAGAGACGAAAACTTAAAATATGAAGAAAAAAATGAACAGCATCAATGTGTAGACTACAAAATTCTTTATTGACCAGTATATACCACGACCCAGTAGAATAAATATTTATTGAGATATGTAGCTACAAAAACACATGACATTGATACGGACAAAACTTTTGAAACAACCTAACACTTTGTGCCAGTTTGTGGACTTATATGGAATGCACAAATTACTGACGCATGCGAATTCTCTCGTCAACTCAACAGTATGTATATAATAGGGGAGCCCAAGCGGGGATTTCGGGATTTACTAAAGCGCGGCAGATTAATATACAGGGGGATACCTTGTACCCGGTTAAGTACCTCCACCAAATATGAGCCCCATATATAAGGCCGCCTATGAACCATATATATCTTAATCTGACGCGCTTGAGTATTTCAAAATGGCGATTTTTTTTGCACATTATAATAATGGCCACGAGTTCGCGTCAGATCGAAATCGTCAGATTATTGAATGAGAGCTTTTTTTTGTTGCACTTAACACCCCCTTAGAAAATCTGACGCCCTCGATTAAATTTTTTTCTTTTCACTTTTAACCCTTACGTACAACCACCCACATCATGCAAACGATCAGATTAACATACTAACATTATTAAAAATACGTAGGAAATTGATGCTATCAATATCTGACGCGCTCAAGTATGTCCATGCAACAGTATTTTTTTACATATTTAAAAATCTATAGCCGCTTTCCGCACCGATGAAAAGGTATATCTATGTATTATATAACATTTTTTTCTTATTATCTAAGCTTTGCAACCTAATATGTCTCAATGACGCTCGAGTAAATCCCCATTTTGCATCGTGGGCTTACAAATTGCAACAATATGTACCTGAAACGTACCTTCTTCACCTTTGAAATATTGACAATTACCTACGTTCTGGTTTTATCATTAAGGTTTAAAATTTATATTCGTTGCATCTTTGAAAACATTTGATGTCGTTGCCATCGAAGTGACATCGCATTGTGATATTGCGGAAATGTTGCAGATATGTTTGCAGGGTTTTCGCGTCGTTTGGTAAACTGTTCTCTCAAAATATATGATGGAATCGGCCGATACTTGATGAAAATCCATAACTAACGTATTCTAAAAACACTTTATTGTGAGATTTTTACTAAAAACAATTTTAGAAAAACGCAACACGTGTTTCGCCATACAATGGCTTCTTCGGGCGTGTTTTTACTGTATCTCAAACCGTTATGGACTTGGAGAGGAGAATATTTTAAAATAACACTCGAAATAGAAAAAACTAGCGGGTCAATTATTTCTACTAAAGGAGTTAATTAACACTGAACACGTTCTGGGTTTCCCAAAGGCATACATGTAGTTAGTTACATTCGGTTCGTGTAAATATCCCTCAAGCGAGTGAACGTTGGAGCATAGATTGTTATTGCAACTGACGTTATATTGATTCGTGTAAAGGTAATTATAGACTCTCTCCAATAAGGTTTTTGAGTCCGGGAATTGTTGTCGTTCCATTATTCTCCTTCTTGGATGAAAAGGCCGACCTATATATTTGTACAGAGTGGGCCAAATTGGTCACTTTCAAAAAGGAAACTCCTTTTTTCAAACTAGATAGATGAAAACTGGTCTAGGTCAAATTTTATGACAAATTTAATGGTGAAAACCGCATATCGATATCTAATTATCGTTTCTGAGTCACAGCATGTTTTTTCGAAAATGTGCATTTTCGAAAAGTTGCTGTAACTTTTTTCCTTTCAAATTTTTTTTTTCTATGAAGACATTTCCAAAGAACTGTTTTACGTAAAAATTATTTTTTCAAATGAGATATCAATAGTTATTGATGGAAAACAATTTTTTTTTCAATGAGACGCCCTGTATATTTCAATAGAGCTTGAAATTACTGTTTCCAAAACTGTAGCACGCTAGATGTTTTGCTAGAGCCATCTTTGAAAGACAGAGCTTTTAGTTTTTTTCATGTAGACTTTGAAACGCACACTTTTCAAGTAGTCTATAGACGATGCGGCGATAAAACATAGTGCAAATCTTTACTGTTAGCTGTAAAATTTTGATTTGAGCAGCAAAAAAGGCCAAAATTACATGTATCAAATAGGAATGAGGATTTGGAAGAAATAGTCGTTTCAGGAACCGTTGAAAATAATCCCAGAACGTCAACGCGAAATTTGAAAATATCAACAGGCCTACCAAGAACTAGCGTTAGGAGCATTTTAAAAAACTACAAATTCAAGCCATACAGGACCAGAAGAGTTCTTCAAGTCAGAAGTCAGGGGATTTTTCACGTCGTATGACTTTTTGCAAGTGGTTCCTGGAAAGTTGTAACCAAGTGCGCGAATTTTCGTTAAATTGTATTTGTACAGACGGAGCTTATGAGAACAGTGTCGACATTTTCAACCGCTACAATTCTATTGTGGAGCAACGAAGTCAAGCAAGATTTGGATTTAGTGTGTGGGCAGGTGTTTTCAGGGATAAAATTATCGGTCTGTTTATTTATAATGGCACTCTCACATCTCGGAGGTATTTAGAAATTTTAAACCAAAATATTATACCTCTTGTTGATGAATTGCCTCTAATGGAGCTCAGAAAAACATATTTTAAACAAGACGGGGCTTCGCCTCACTACACTGCAATTGTCACCAATTTTTTGGCTGCAAATTTTAGTAAAAATTGGATAGCCAACCGTTGGTCGGCCAGGTCACCGGACCTAACGCCTATGGACTTTTACCTCTGGGGAAGGTTGAATGATCTCATTTTTAAATTGCCGACCAATTCTAGATACGAATTGGAAGCGGCAGTGATGCAAAGTTTTGCTTCTCTCGCTTCTATTGAACTAATTGATTTGGTAAAAACGTTCAGAAAAGGTGTCGCCTGTGTTTAAGAGAAACTGGTAGACATTTTGAACACCATCTCCAAAGAAATATATTTCATTGTTTGTTCTTTGTCATTATTATTGTTGAAGTTTCATTTATTAGTAGTAAATATATTATAAATTGTTATCAGTTTTATTGAAACTATGCTTTTTAATTACTGCTGTGAAAAGCTTTCTCAACATTTGATAGCTACTACTGAACATTTTCGACATGTGGCAGGTTAATCGTGTTATATAAAGTTATTTTAAAAAATGTTGATAGGTATTGAGAAAATCTAGAGAAATACTAAGTTTTTTGAAGATATTTTGTTCATATGGATTCAATTTTCAATTAATGATGAGGCTCTATTCACCATGATGCGAAATACTTGAATTGGTTAACGTATTCAATTATTTTGCCATCTAGTAAGAAAATTGAGTTGATTTGTATTGATACCTTTATGTTTGTAAGGTGTAGTTATTATTATTGCCTTAGCTCTAGCTTAGTTTCTTCATTAGAGTTGAAATAAGTAAATATTGTCGATAATGTTCAGTTGGTTAATGAATCAGAAACAAAAGAGGTCTCAGAACCCTCTCCTGTTAACTTCAAATTAATGGTGAAAGATAAAACATTTCCTACCCACGTGATGTGTTTGCAATCAGTCAAGTAATCTCTAATATATTTCAATACAGTATCTTGCTCACCAAACGCTTCTATTATCTTAATCTGTATCCGCCGAATCGTTTCAAATGTCCTCTTCAGACTCAAGAAAATGAAAACTACGTAATTACTATTTTATTGAATTATTTTTTCCCATTTTAGTATTATCAACTAAAGAGATAATTTGCACGGAAGATTGCGTCTTAATCGTGATTGATGTGATATTAGCAAATTATTTGGGTTTATTGGTTGTTCACTTATGTTATGTAACAATAATTTTGTTCCAGATGAAGCCAGAAATCTACAGAAGGGAGTCCTCGTTCATTGTTTGGCCGGCGTGTCCCGTTCCGTTACCGTAACTGTCGCTTACTTGATGTCCAAGTATTCCCTCAACCTCAACGACGCCTTCAATGTCGTCCGCTCCCGCAAATCCAACATCGCTCCCAACTTCCATTTCCTCCAGCAGCTCTACAATTTCGAACGCGAGCTCAAACTCGATGTGTCTTCCCAAAGCCCCCTACCTCTGATGGAGCAGTTAAAACAGGATCAGAAGGATCGTGGAAACAAGTCGGAGCAGAAGAAGGATAAAGGGCCGTGCCAGAACTGCGGTCTCAAAGAGAATTGCAAGTGTAAGCAGCACAGCGACTTCCTCAGTCCACTCGCACAAATCGGTGTCAGTCCGGATTCTGGCATCGAATTCGACAGATGGGCCACTGGCACTCCGGGAGAATGAGAACAACAGGGGGGGTCACAGTGGCACTTTTAAAGTATGCGGTATACACCTACCTAGTGTCACTGTCATCCTCCCTCCTTTTTCCTGTAGTTCGGGTATTCTTTATGTGTAAGCCAAACGCTTCGCACCTTTTTAGTTGAGCTCTTTTTGTTTTTGGGTCCTCGAAATCTCCATCAACTGTCGAGTTTTGAGAATTTTTTTTGTAATTGTTCAACTCTTCCAGAACCTCAATATTTGGATATTTCTTCAGATGAAGTGATATTTGCACAGTGAATTATAGACTGATATGAAGGAAACAGCTGAAAAGTTATTTGAGAAATATCATAAATAGGCACAAGATCTTGTAATGTGACATTCATTTGTATATTGTATATTTAATATTTTACAAAGTGTAGTTCTCCCATTTTTTGAATTTTTTATTCATTGTTTATAATAATTTTAATACTTTATTCATTTACATTTTATTTTTTCTCCCATAGATTTTGAATCTATCAAATTCAATATTTATAAGTCCGTACAGGAGATATTGAATTGTAAATTTAGTGAGTAAAACTGTTAATTTTCTCACAATAAGTAGTAAGTCGGACAAAATATTTTGAAAAGTTCTTTAAATGTAAAATTCATAGATTCTTCTCAACTTAAACAAAAAGGATGCTCATTTTTAGAAATATCAGAAAATTTTCTTAATACCATTTGGGTGACTTGTGCAAATTTCAAATCATTTGAAAAGATCAAGAGGTGTGGAGACTGTACTAGGTAATATTTACTTACAAAAATTCCCTTTTTACTTCATGTTCCGAGTTTTATAAATTTTATTGAATTTCTGTTCAATTTTTTCGGTGTACATATCAACGTGTTAGGTTGTACTATAAAAAATTAGCATACTTGAAGTTTCAATGGGTTTGAAACTACTTCAATAATTCTTTGGTTGTGAGTTATTGTATCTTCCACAACTGTTCTAATTGGAAATGGCCAAAATCGAACTTGGTAGATTGGAATGTTTTTTTTGGTAAATGAGATTGGCAGAACTAATTGAACTGTTGCTACTACCGGCACTGGATGAGAACTTTGCTTGTGTTTAAATCTTGGGCCAAAGAATGTTCATACTGTTTTTAGAATACGGAGTAAGTAGTAGTCCTTCACAAATACACTTTTTGTTATTGATACCTATTTGGTGTTACCAGCTTCTAGTTAAATAACGTATTAATCAAGATAAAAACCCTCAAGTTGATCCATAAATAATTGATGTAATTATTATCCTGGATATTTTCAGTAAAATATGATTTTCCTGATTCGGAATTCTAATCATGCTGAAAAGAGAAGCTACTTTGAATTGAATTCAATTATTGAATGAAGAAACGAGAATTGAAACTTTCTATGTTTTTTTACCACTTTTATTTGTAACTAAGTTACAATTCTCATTTCTTCATTATGATTTCCTACCACGTAGTAACGGCTACATCCATCAATTTATTCAATTATTGGAGTTATAATTCCTTTGTTGCTGTATAGGTGAGATCCCATTATTTTTTTCTAAACATTGTTGAATCCTGACTACTTGTTGCGATGAATCTGAAGAGTGTTATTAGTTAGTTTTATAATATATAAGAAAGAACCCTGCAGAAGCCCAAAACTCTGTAAAAAGGTAGTGCCATTGTGCGCAAAATCATTTTCTGTTTCCCTGTGAAGTAAATGCAATATTTTTAAGGTTACAAGTTGGTTTCTGCAAGTCATATTAATGATATAGAATTTGTCAAATGTTTCTATCAACATATTTGAACTACTGGGCGTTTCGTTTATAACTGCGACAGGCAATTCAAACGGCAATGAAATGATCTCAACAAGCATAAAAGATCCGGCAACTGGGTTTACTAAAGTACCTATAGATAGGGAGTTGGTTAGATATATGTCAAGTTATGAGTAATATCATCACATTGTCAAGGATATTCACTATGTTTTCTCGGACTGCAGCACACTTGAGAGTTCGTTTGGCTTCAGTTCAAGAATGACAATTTATACAACATGATAACTTGTTATAAGTAATTACAAAGATTAATTTTTGTATAAAAAAAAATTATTTTAATTAAAACATTGCCAAATTTAGATTCCTTTGGTAAAATTCAATCAGATGTATGAATTTCTTCCTCCCAACCTCCAAATTCATCAATTTAATTCAAACCGTCACAAAAACTTCATTCTAGCACAATATTCAATGTGTAAGCTCAAACTTAACAAACACTGCATACCCAAATCAAACAATTTATTGGATTTACCTCAAAATTTTCAGTGAATAATAGTACACATCTCACATTGATGAACATGTTGTGTCCAGTTCTGTGCACTCGCTTTATGAGGTGTAAAAAGAAATGCCAAACCAATGATTTTGAGGAGCCACTTACGGTCATGTCAAATAGGGAATATAGTTTCTATATGTATCCGTGTAATGGAGTAAAAGTATTTTTACAAGTTTATCCTTCTTCTGTTTGAAAAGTCAAAATTAATGAACACACTTATTTTGACGACACAGATATTCTTTTCACAAAATACCATACTGGTTAAGTTTTGACTCAATCTATTAATCTCGTATGTGACCAATTCAATTCAAAAACATTGAAATCTTTTTCACAGGGAGATAGGAATTTTTGAGAATAAATGACAACGGCCATAGGGATTCTCTCAGGTCCCATGCAGAATGTATTTACCCTAAATTTGTTATATATTTGAGGTTTGAAAAAAGCTAATATATATGTTTGTCAGTTTGTAGAATACATTAAAATTTTATTGAAATGTTGACTTTACAATAAATTTGATCTATTTGTGTGAGGAATTTTTTGATATTTTCATCAGATTAAATCGCAGTTGTTCCAGTTTCTGAATTAGCTTTGGAAGTTTTATATATATCGAGAAATTGAATAACAATAGCCTGATTCAGATATTGATAAATTTTGACTGTAAATAATGTGACGCTTATAGTAGTTTTTTGGAAATACATGAATTCCTAATTTCTCTCACATTCTGTTGAATTTTTCTTATAGTTCAATTAATCAACCAATCTCATATTCTAATGTACTTCTTAGTCATCAATTCTATAGTACTCATAAGCTTAAATATTGATATTGCAGTATTATTCTCTTATTACCTGAACATTAGAGTAACATTCCAGACTTTTCAAATTTCATTTCATTGTAAAAGTTTAGGAACCCCAGGAGTGTAACCACTATAAAAGAAACTAGGTGCAATATTAGAGTTTTGATATCTAGAAACAATCACGCAACAAATGTATTCGCACAAGTTCATTTCTACTTATAGAAGATATTATTAATTAAACTTCCAAATTCAAGTTGAATAAGATTTTTGTCAATAATGAATTATAGTGATTTATCTATATTAAATTATCTAAGGATGTTCCTCTGAAAAATTATTTTTTATAATTTTCATCAAGCTTAATGGATACTTTAATTTCTATATGAATAACTTGAAACTTATCAACCCTTTTGTTCTTGAGATGCCAGTCTTTGGAAATTTTAAGTATGAATGTGCAAGATACAGCTAACCGTGAATTGAAAAACTGACCTTTATGAATTCTTTAAAAAAACTTATATATGATTATGTGATCAATCTTACATTATGGGAATGTGAAGCCTAGCTGTGTTATTAAGATATTACTTGAAGTTCGGAGTGTTGCAAATATATTAATATTGACGTGTGTTTACTACTTTCCCTCCAAAGTGCTTTCTTCAGTTGAAATATGAAAATATTAATATATAATTTTAATAGCCAAAAAGCTGCAAGAAAAAAAAATTCTATTCTGAACTTTTATAATTGATATTTCGATTTCTATAGACTTAGGCTTCACTATTCTACAGTTTTATGTTGATCATATAATGTTTTATAATAGAAATTGAGAATGTCACAATACATTCTCGGATGATGCATTAACGCAGATGATATTACATGCAAACGAGTGAAGCAAGATCATTTCAAAGAAATTTTGAGTTATTCCGGAGGAACAACCTTAAAAGCAAAGAGATTCATATGATAGATTTGTATAGGATTTTATTCATTTAGAAAAATTAGTCTTTTTCAATTCCACTTTGTAAATAGTCTCCAGTGCCATATATTTGTTTTAAATCTCAATTATATCTTGCCATATCTTTGTTTAACATTCATGAATAAAGAACTTGTTAAAATGTAATCACAGATGTTATGAAGTTACTTGTTAATTGGTAGGTATACATTGTTGAAATGACGATATTATATGTATGGAATACATAAATGTTTATAATAAAGTATATACACATATATATCTATATTTTCATGACATATATACATGAAGTATATAGGTATGATTTTCTTTAGGTTAGTTAAAATTAGAAGTCCTAGATTAAATAAAACGCGGGATTTCTACAGATCCCTTGCAGTTACAGTTTATGAAATACTTGAACGAAAATACGTGAAGTTGAATTGAACCCATAGATTTGCACATCTAGTAGATTTTTTATTCAATGAAGATTTTCGTTCAAGTATTAGAAGCTATAACAATGGCAAAGATAACACTGTATGTATTCATGTAGGAAAATTAAAGTGTAACATAATCTCCTTGTTGAATTAATACTTTTCAATTTCGTATGAGGCAGTTTTAGGAAGTTATATATACCTAAACAGGAACCTTATATTTATTTTACATTCCTGTTATAATCAATTGAACAAAACACATATTTTGAGATGATGACTTGTATTTATCTTCCACTTTTTAACCATTGAATAACTTTTATCTAATGTTATTTTATATATCATACTGAAAATAAGTGGACTTTAATAAATGTGTCCATGTTCTTCATAATTTTTGGAATATTAAATTTTCAATACCTTTTTTGATTGTTTACTTTGTCAATTCCACTTTCAACATTAAATCCAATATCTTTAAATATTTTTGAGAATAAGTATGAACATAAATGTTACCGGTAATTCACACACGTTAAGAAGTTATAATTTATTGGTGGCAACCTTGAATAACCACTATACAATTAATAAACTGACAAGAGGATGCTTCAAACAGCTAAGAAATTCCACCATTAGGTCTATAATAATAGATTTTTTGTGCATAACTGAGTTTTATGCAAAAGGTAGGAGACGGCCAGATGCTATCTTTCACTCCTATAGAACAATATAGGGATTGACAATTTAAGTGAGTTTGTCAAAATTCATTTGGTACAATGATCTGAAGTGAACTGAGAGATCGAACTGAATTGATAATTATACATAATTTGTAAGAAAGAAAGGAGATGTCATTTATTTATATCCAGTAAGAAATACCTTTTTAGATGAGATTTCAGTTCATAAAGAGACAAATTCAATAATGGAATATATCTTGGGAAAAAAGGTTTTGACTTTCTGCTTCACCATCTTTATACAAAAAATGTGAGAATTTTCGAAAGAAAACAAGAAAGCAATCAAATTCAAAAAATTAACTCCATACAAAGATGTGCAGATCATGCAAAGAAGAGCTACTTTCATATAAACATTGAATCTCACACGAAAGAAAAATACTCTCATATAAGCACTGAATTATACAAAAATGACTTTTCTCTATTCAGTTTGAATCCATTCTATGCATCTTTAAAAGAGTTGATTTTTTTAAATTGATTGCTTTCTTCTTTTCTGTGAATGATTCTCACATTTTTTGTATAAAAACGGAGAAATAGAAAGGCAAAACCTTTCCCAAAAATGAATTTCTTCTAAAAATCTGTCCCTTTAAATTTTAACAGGATTAATTCTACTTGTGAGGCGAAGTTTGAAACCTTTGGTGTAGTAATGAATTTTACGGGAGTTTTTTCCCAACACCAAACCGTNAATGAATTTTACGGGAGTTTTTTCCCAACACCAAACCGTTATTTTAACACTTCAACACGTGTTTTGATTACCAAGAGATCATCTTCAAAAGGAACTCCCGTTTAATCTTCCTCTTGAAGAGGATCACTTGGTGATCGAAACACGTGCCAAGGTGTTAAAATAACGATTTGATGGTGTTCTGTTGCAGTGTAAACCAGGTTTTGCTATTATGGATATTAGAATGAATAGGTGATGATTGCATTTCAGTAAGAAATTATAATAACACACAATATTCTATATGATGGTAAATGAGTAATTGGATCAATTTGAGCTTCTTTTCTCTTGATGGTTGATATTTGAATCTTTAAAGTGACTTCTATATTAAAAAAAACTATTTTGAAGACATGTTGGTCATAATATCTTTCTCAGTTACTTCGTTTTTTACTCTATATAAATAAAACCATACTTTTTTCTTATGAATTTCTCCTCATTATTGGCTATTGATTTTTTTCAGATGTCTGGTGTTTTCTTCTATTTACTTCTTGCCATTTGTTATTTGTTTTCATATCTTGATATCGTAGAATGAAATTCTCAGTCAACAAAATGTTTATTATTGAGACGATTTGCCTTGTATTTAAATAAAAGTTTCCATGATAATAACTACACAATTTTCAGCGTTTTGCTAACAGTAGCTTACTTGGTAGAAGCTACTGTGTTAGTGAAACATGTGTAGAAATTAAAATATTTGTGAAAATTGTGTAATTATTATCAAGGATAGTGTTGTTGATTTTCGTCAAGTAACGGGTGAGTCTATTCATAAATCAAAGTTTAATTTGGTTTCCAATATCAATTTTATTTCAGAGAGACCAATAGACCCTTTTATAGTTTACATGTGTGTACGTAAAAAATAGCATAAATGTGAAACGAGAAAATAAAATCGTTGGTTTTGAAAGAATTCAATTTTTATTGTTATAAAAATTAATAATTCAAATTTTCAACAATTATTTTGGGAGGGAGTGATGAAAACTCAAAATAGTCGTTTCATATTTTAAAATGTTTTATAAATCGATAGTGATAACTCATCTAGCAGTCCATAAGAAAAAATTAAAAATATCGATTTAAATTGAAAAGGAATCAAAGTTTATGTTCGATACAAACTGAAAGAAAAAACACTCTTGAAACAAATACTTTCACATGAACATTGAATTACACATGAATCACCAGTTTGCACTCCAAAAATTCATTATGATATATGTTTTGATGTTGCACTGATGATGTTGCATTGAAACATATATCAATAATGAAAACTCTGCACAAAGTTATATTTGAAAGATTTTTGACATAAAATGTCACATAAAACACTATCATCCTCAATGGTGCACTTCGAAGTTTCAGAACAAGACTGTTTTGGACAACATTATTCTTTCATGAAATTACAACTTTATGTAATCAGAAGAGACAACTCTGCTCATCGTGGTGACAGTTCATATTAACATTAATACGGCTAATTCATTTTTTTCTTTCTTCAGAAGTTTCTCACAATTTTTGTTCAATGATGGTGAAGTGGGAAGTCAAAAACCCATAAAATTATCAACATTTTGGGGTACTAGTAGGGAGTTTGAATTGAAAGTAAGTATTGCATTTCAACAAAAACTGAATTCTTATATTCAACTCTTCATCTGCTGTAAATTCATCAATTGTCTCTTGATCTCGAAAGCAATCACTCCCAATGCAACACCAGTGTTGAGGCTTTCTACATCATTACTTAATGGCACATTGAGTCTCACTCCATTGAAGTCTTTGGCCAATTTATAAGAATTTTCACTAATACCCTCGGTTTCTCCTCCGATAATAACCACAATATGACTAGATGGGTTGAAACTGACAGAATAGTATGGCAATACAGGCACTGACTGAACTAGTTCTGCTAAATTCTGTTGTTCTGCTTCATCACCAGTGAGTTCTGCCGATATTGTATTGTTGTCTGCTATATATACAGCTGATGAAGGAGGAAGGGTTTTCGTTATTTCCTCCCAATCTGCTTTTTTTTTAATCTGTAATCTGAAATGAGCTCCACAGGCGCTTCGTAAAACCTTTGAATCCCAAACATTCACACAACCTGAAATGAAAACAACACCAATATAATCTGAGCTCTTTTGAATAATTTTTTTTTGTATAAATGGCATAGTTATATAGATAGATATATAGTTCTTTATTTCCAACAGGTATAAGTACACCCAATAACAGGAAATGTTTAAACTAGATATGTTTCCTTCCTTACTTTGGAAGATTCACACTTTTTTTATATCAAGATGGAGAAGTAGAAAGCCAAAAACCTTTCTTTCCCAAAAATTAATGTCTCCTAAAAATATATCCTTTCAATTTCAACTAACATCGGCCGATTGACTGAGTGAACAAAGCACCCACGTCGAACCACCCAGCTATCGATCAGCTATACATATTAATTTCACGGGAACCACATATCAGTTTGAAATTATTGATCTCTTTAAAATGTCTGTTCTAGCAAGATCACAGTAAAATACCTTTGACCAATATTTAGTCGAGGTACAAAAAATGAAATTTTTGCTAGCAGGAATTCACAGCTCATGTTATTATGTAGTAAATTATCAGGGACCTTATTGTTAAAATGATACGTCTAGTATTCAGTGTGATGAAATGCTTTCATTGAGAAGAATTGAGTAATCAATGTTGCAGTCTGGGTAAAATACTATATTTTTGCAAATATAAATATTTTGAAAATTTCCTTTGAACACAATATATGGAACATATTTGGGTTGCATAATGGGGATACCATATCAATACCCCATACTCTAATTTGCTACATAACAGCTGAATAGTAATGTAAGGGTTGATGAATCTGAAAATTCCCTACCATTCTTTAACATGAAGCCTAACATTTCATTAGCTGGAGACATGGTACTTTGAATATGAGGATTGAATGACATCTTTTAGTCAAATAGTATGCCAAGGTTCCTCATTTGCGTCAACAGATTCAAGATTGTATCACTGATATTGTATTGAAATATCAATGCATTTTCTTTCCTCAGGAAGGTAAAAGTTGAACATTTATTGATATTCAACTCAAAGTGGTTTGTGTAATGTAATGTTCTAACTAACTTTTCATACTCCATGGTTGTTGGTGACTTACGTCAGTAACACTGTCAAGTTTATAGTTTGGTTAGGTTTGAGGGAGGTCAAGAGTGTGGTTGGTGTCGACAAGTCGACATACTGCCTTGTAAAGCAAATAAACCGGAATAAAGGATTATGGAGTTTAATTTGCATGATACGACATGGTGGCAGCGGTGACTCAGAAGTGATAGTATCGAAACACGAAACGTGTTTGAATCTTTTTCGTTTCAATATGGTGGCTCACGGAGTTCAAGTGAAGCTATCTTGTGCCAGTGTTGACGGTTGCAGCGAAGCAAAAAGAAAGAGGAATATGTCTACCGGATCGAGACATACAGCTAAGGATATGACTCCCTTGAACATAGGCGTTTGGGTGATTGATTTAAGGCAGTACGGAAAGATAACTGAAATATGTGAAGAATCACGTTTATATATAGTTGAAACCAGTTGTGGAAAATATAGGCGAAACAGGTGGCATCTTGTTCAAACTCCCTATCATTCATCAAATATCCAGGCTGAACCACCTATGCCCGATTTTTTCTTGAAACATGGAGAAAGTCATTTTCAGAGAAAATTTAAAAATGTAAATGATAGTAATGAAATTTGTTATGAAGGTGACTTTACTCAGGATGAAAACAAAAATTGCCAAAGTGAGGTGCAAGTGAAAAGTGAAAGTGTAGAAAATCAAAAAGTAACACAGTCTAATACCAGCTCAAGCAGGCCTAAGAGAAATGTTAAAACACCTGTGCACTTGTCTGACTATGTATTGGAATAGAGTTTAAGAGGGCTTTCAGCAACATTGGAGTATGATTTTAATTTATTCGTAAAAAGAAAAAAGGGGGGAAGGTAATGTAACATTCTAACTAACTTTACATACCCCATGGTTGTTGGTGACATAGCTTGGTAACACTGTCGAGTTTATAGTTTTGTTAGGTTTGAGGGAAGTCAAGAGTGTGGTTGATGTCGACATACTGCCTTGTAAACATTTGAGTAAGCAAATAAACCAGAATAAAGGATTACGGAGTTTAATTTGCATGATACAACAGTTTGTAGTACACCATACATATACTGTGTTGATGTCATGCTGTAATGAATTACAATCTTGAGTTGTAACGATACTTTGATAAAGTTTCAAGTCATCAGCATATAATAGAGTGGAGCATTAAAAATCCAGGGAGACGCCATTGACGAACAAGAGGAATAAAAGACGCCCAAGATTAGAACACTGTGATATCCCCGAAGTTGGTGTTATGATAAAAAAACGATATTCTTGGAATGTGACATATTGACGCCTATCGAAAAGATGAGTCACATAAAAATAGTTTAAGAGAGAATCCTAAAAAACTAAGGTTTCTGTAAAGGCTTTTTGTATATCTATATAAACAACATGTACTTGACCTCTCTGGTCCAAGATATCACAGATATATTGATTTAAACAAGAGAGGTTTGTCACACAGGAGTTTTTATTAACAAAACAGTGCTGTTCGACAGATTTACACAAGAGAGGTTTGTCACACATAACTTTTTATTAAAAAAACAGTGCTGTTCAATAGATAACATATCCTTTGTAGCGTTGTATATGTCTTTGAAGAGAATATATACCAAAGGTTATGACAATGGGATAACTTCCTTAACTAGGAAGGATTTTAAATTCATCACTTGGAAGGAAAACTACTCACATGAGCAACTCACACAGAAATATTGATTTAAACAAGAGAGGTTTGTCACACAGCAGTTTTTATTAACAAATCAGTGCTGTTCAATAGATTTACACAAGAGAGGTTTGTCACACATAACTTTTTATTAAAAAAACAGTGCTGTTCAATAGATAACATACCCTTTGTAGCTTTGTATATGTCTTTGAAGAGAATATATACCAAAGGTTGTGACAATAGGATAACTTCCTTAACTAGGAAGGATTTTAAATTCATCACTTGGAAGGAAAACTACTCACATGAGCAACTCACACAGAAATTTGTTAGTTAAAAAATAGTATACATTGATACAGGTTGGCCGGTGGAACCTGAAATTGGGCAATCTTTTCCATGACAATACCTTTTGTTAAAATGATTTCCTTGCATCCTACACCACAACATGTCCTTAAAACTGCTCCCAAATTGCTAGCTTCTCGAATGTTGTCGCAAATAATGGTCACTGGAAGTGAGTTAGGCGGAAATTTAAATGATTCTACATCAGGAGTTCTAAATATACCTGGAACAAATTCAATACTCTTAAAATATTTCAGACTGGAATACGAGTGGATTAGAACAAAGCATCATAAATACATAATTCATTTAATGTTTTTTTTATGATTTGAAAATTACTTTCTCTTTCTGATAAGTATAATAAAGTAGTGCCATAGAAGTGCTACAGAAGTGCCATAAAATATGAGTAACTGGAAAATTCACATTTTGAAACAATTTTAATCCAAATAGAGATAAACCTCCAATGAAAAAGATACTGAGTCTGGTTTGTAAAAACCTGTATTTGCACTTACCCATGATTCCTGGAGAAGTGGTGAGACCAGACCACATTTGTATTTCTCTGTAAGGCATTTTGTATAACTTAGCACCCATCTTTGGCAAATGTGGCTTCAAATCTTCCACATCTTTCAATCGGCTGAACAGAATATATGAAAGTTTACAATCCGCCAATAAAGCTTCTTGAATCAATCTTTTTCCCTCTAAAAGAATCAAGTCATTTTTCGTTCTCTCTTTCTTGGACTTGACTTCTGCCAGTATAGAGCTAATCCTTGAATCGTTATTTTTGAGTTTGGTATACACGCAGTTTCCATCTGAATCTATGATGGTTTCCAACATATCTACAGTGGTATATTTTTTAGTCTCTCTAACATTTTGACTACTTTTAGAAATTGTAAGTGGTTTGAATGTTTTTGATCGCGGATTATATTTTGATAAATTATACCTGGAATTATTTCTTAGAGGTGAAACATCAGCATTATATTCTTTACTTGAAATTTTTGTTCTTAAGGGAACATCTTCAACTTCATCATATTCTTCACTTGGAATAACTCTAATTGGAGAACGACGAGACCAGCGAACTTGGCAATTCAATTTGGTGATTTTTTTGTAAGCGCTCAATTTCAAGAAACTTTGACAAAATATGTTAGTCATGTTGAACAATTATTTAAAAAAATGTAATCTCACATGTATCATGTATACCTACAATATGTATATTAGAAGCATGTAAACATAACCAAATAAAATATCCCGTCTTCCTGTCAAATGTGTCATGCAATCGGTGTTGCGAAGGCAAAAAGTTACGGAATACAAGGTGCTGGTACAAGCACAGTATTGTACTAACTTGTGGTGCCTTTTGAAACGAGACGGGACGTCGATAGCGTAGTCTATTGCGTCCTTGATAAGAGAATTTTCATGAGTTTCTGCATTTTCGAAAACTCCACGAATTCGTGTCTGTATGCTCTGCCGTATGGTAGGCAGATTCAGATCCCTGCCGTCTTATGTTGACGTTTCGCACGTACCACGGAGCGTTTGTTAGCATCCTCAGTATTTTATTCTGAACCCGTTCTAGGATATCGATATGAGTTTTTGCTGCTTGGCCCCATACTCCTGAGGCGTACATTATAACAGGTTCAAACATCGTTTCATGAAGTAAAATTTTGTTCCTATGACTCTGGCGATTGATGAGAGGATACAGCTGAGATATCCTCACATTCGCTTTCGCCTTCACCAACTGTATATGTTGGGCCCAGGTGAGTCTGCAGTCTATAGTAAGACCCACTACCTGGGGGCTCTAAGCGAATTCTTTCGTCATAGACGAAGACATTAGAACAGTGTCATCTGCATAGAGAGAGACCTCAACGTGGTCGAATCTTGGGAGATCGCTGATATAGAGGTTGTAAGTAGAGGTGAGCGACATGCCTGTTTCCTGCAGCCCTCCAGCCTATATCTCTCTTACCGGAGATCAGATGTTGTCTAGTTTGACAGTGAAAGTATGACGCTATCCACTTGACTAGTCCCAGTGGAAGGTTGAATCTTATCATCTTATGTAGAAGGCCTTCGTGCCGAACGCAATCGAAGGCCTTCCAGATGTCTGGTAAAAAGATATGTTGTTCGTATCTAATCTTATTCGTCTCTTGAATTGCGTTTTAAACCAATTTTGAGGATTGTAGTTCACAAGACTGTACCCTCCTGAAATTGAACTGTTCATCCGGAAGCATATGCCTGTCTTCGATCTCCTCGTCCAACCTTTGCAGGACTACTCTCTCCGCTCACTTGGCCATGAAGCCTAACATACTTATCGGTCTGTAGTTCTAGGGGAATCGTGAATCTTGACCCATTTTTGATATAATTATCTCAGCATGCTTCCACCACTTAGAAAAGTATCTGGGACTCAAAGAACTGTTGATAATGTTCTTGAGTGACATGACTTGGTTTTACGGTAGCTTTTTCAATATCATGTTTAATATTGAGTCAGCACCAGGGGCCTTTTTGAGTATGATACCGCGAATCAGTCCGTTCAGTTCTTCGTCTGAGACGGATCTGATGACGTCCTCGTTATCGAGTTGAAATGTGTCTTCTACTTTGTCCTCGATTCTTATATCCCTACCGATGTCATCTATAGCGTCCATGTTTAGTCTAATTTTTTTCCATAGCGTCCACGAAAGCTGTGGTTTGTCTTGGGTTGCAAAATAGACTCGCCGTGCCCTATGTAAGGGTGCATTTTTGATGTTTTCCTTGAGGTGTACCACCGCTGCATCTAAACCTGAGGTGGTTCCAGGGGTAGTAGTATACCAGAGGTTTCTTACAAGTGAGCCTTAAAAGAATCCAAGTATGTCCTGATCATTATACTGTTAGTTTGTATTGGGGGGGCTTCCCCCAGAATCAGTATCACTGGGTTGTGATCTAAGTCTAACTCAGATGTCACATATCCCATATTAAAAGTAAGAGTTAGATTCCTGATAACTGCTATGTCAAAAACCCTGCTCCACTGCACGTGTTTAGTTGAAATCACCTGCAGCTATCGTTGGGGTGTAAATATTGAGTCAGCACCAGGGGCCTTTTTGAGTATGATACCGCGAATCAGTCCGTTCAGTTCTTCGTCTGAGACGGATCTGATGACGTCCTCGTTGTCGAGTTGAAATGTGTCTTCTACTTCGTCCTCGATTCTTATATCCCTACCGATGTCATCCTTAGGGTCCATGTTTAGTCTAAATTTTTTTCCATAGCGTCCACGAAAGCTGTGGTTTGTCTTGGGTTGCAAAATAGACTCGCCGTGCCCTATGTAAGGGTGCAGGAGATTCTCTCTTGTTCTTTCTGCTTTTGACTCATCGCCAAAAAGAATAATCCTCGGGCTCTGAACTCTCGAGATGTTCTTGCCAACTCTCGTTCCTACAGTCAATGATAGCTCGTTTCACTTCATTGGCTTTCGTGTTCGCTCTGACTCCGTCTCTTAGAAACAGAGTCCTGTGGTACGTTCTTTCCAGACGGTTTCTTTATCTAATCAGACATGTTATCCGTCGAGAGAATTTGTTATAGGATCACGGTGGTTCCTCGTTATTCGTGGTAACTGCCGAGAGAGCATTTTTGATGTTTTCCTTGAGGTGTACCACCGCTGCATCTAAGCCTGAGGTGGTTCCAGGGGTAGTAGTATACCAGACGTGAGCCTTAAAGAAATCCAAGTATGTCCTGATCATTATACTGTTAGTTTGTATTGGGGGGGGGCTTCCCCCAGAATCAGTATCACTGGGTTGTGATCTGAGTCTAACTCAGATGTCACATATCCCATATTTAAAGTAAGAGTTAGATTCCTGATAACTGCTATGTCAAAAACCCTGCTCCACTGCACGTGTTTAGTTGAAATCACCTGCAGCTATCGTTGGGGTGTCTGTTTCGAGCAGAAGAGGACTGAGTGTCTCCGGCAGTAAGCGGTTATTAGGGAAGTTATACACTGATATAAGTCTATGAACCCCCCTTCTAAGGAGTACTTCGATGCCTATATTCTCTATACGATTTGGCGCATCCTCGTCTATACCCAACTGAGTATGTTTGATTGATATCTTTATGAGGATGGCAACGCCTCCTTCCCGTTGGCCGTTTATGTCTTCTTTATAAAAGACATAATTTGGAATCATGGATCAGCCTTGCATGCTGTTTTTTTGCAGGAGCATGATATCTACGTCATGTTCTCTAATGAAGTTCTCTACGTTGAGCTTCTTCTTGAGTAATCCGTTGGCGTTCCGAATAATCTCTAAGGAGTCCGGCACTAGGTGGCGTCTAGTCATTTAGTTGCCAGTTGAGACGGGTGGGTTCGCCGTAAGCATCGTGTGCAACACTGATAACTTCGTCAGTATTTATTTGAACTGGTCGAAGGCCGCAAATAGACCTTCGATGGGATTAGAAGTCCAACTCTCATTGCAAAAATGAATGGTTCACATATGCACGATATTTATTGGGAAAGTTAATCGTTCAGATACGACACCTACCGGACATATTGAAACTAAGCCAGATGGTAAAACAAAGTCATGTTAGTTGTTTTCATATATTGTTGTGGTTTCTAGTGCTCCCACGAATAAAAGTGATTTATTTCACCTATATCAGTTTCTTATGCATGTAACGAACACATTAAAAATATTACTCTCACAAATTCACAATTAAGTAACTGAAAACGCGAAAAACCAAAACAATAGACAATAGACGTTATGGAATTTCATCAAATATCGGCCAATTCCATTGAATATAATTAATCATTAATCATTAATCATTAATGATAAAATAACAGTCTCCACTCAAAGTGAATAATCAATGATGAAGTGAACTTACCTCAATCATCGTAAAGAAGTTGAAATGTGAACTTCATTGTGAATCGGAAATCATGAAATTACAGAACATATTATTACCTGGAATAATTCATTTCAACATATGCAAATACATCGTCTTTGGAAACTATCGGAAACTTCTATGAAGAGTAATAGAGACTTTATAGTTAGTAAAATATTCGAAATATAGGAAGACTACCACACCACAACATCTAATCAATCAAAAACTAATCTTGATTTATGGCATTACCGACTCATGACACACTCAGAAACTAGTTACCGAACTGAATACTAAACATGTTCATATGTAAACCTTTTCAGTCCATAACTGACTCCCTGATTTTGGACGATTCGGAACAGTACAAATTGAGAACCAGAAAAAAACGTATAGGAAAACTGTCTTCCACAGAACTCAAAATTATATCTTAGACCAAATAATTGAGAGTTCTGTACTTGCTTCTCTTGATATGACAGTCGACAGACAGACGACAGAATTCTTCACATCGGCCGATTGACTGAGTGAACAAAGCACCCACGTCGAACCACCCAGCTATCGATCAGCTATACATATTAATTTCACGGGAACCACATATCAGATTGAAATTATTGATCTCTTTAAAATGTCTGTTCTAGCAAGATCACAGTAAAATACCTTTGACCAAAATTTAGTCGAGGTACAAAAAATGGAATTTTTGCTAGCAGGAATTCATAGCTTATGTTATTATGTAGTGAATTATTAGAGACCTTATTGTTAAAATAATATGTCTAGTATTCAGTGTGATGAAATGCTTTCATTGAGAAGAATTGAGTAATCAATGTTGCAGTCTGGGTAAAAATTTCCTTTGAACACAATATATGGAACATATTTGGGTTGCATAATGGGGATACCATATCAATACCCCATATTCTAATTTGCTACATAACAGTTGAATAGTAATGTAAGGGTTGATGAATCTGAAAATTCCCTACCATTCTTTAACATGAAGCCTATCATTTCATTAGCTGGAGACATGGTACTTTGAATATGAGGATTGAATGACATCTTTTAGTCAAATAGTATGCCAAGGTTCCGCATTTGAGTCAACAGATTCAAGATTGTATTATTGATATTGTTTGGAAATATCAATGCATTTTCTTTCCTCAGGAAGGTAACAGTTGAACATTTGTTGATATTCAACTCAAGGTGGTTTGTGTAATGTATTGTTCTAACTAACTTTTCATACTCCATGGTTGTTGGTAACATAAGTCGGTAACTATGAAGTTTATAGTTTGGTTAGGTTTGAGGGAGGTCAAGAGTGTGGTTGGTGTCGACAAGTCGACATACTGCCTTGTAAAGCAAATAAACCGGAATAAAGGATTATGGAGTTTAATTTGCATGATAGGACATGGTGGCAGCGGTGACTCAGAAGTGATAGTATCGAAACACGAAACGTGTTTGAATCTTTTTCGTTTCAATATCGTAGCTCACGGAGTTCAAGAGAAGCTATTTTGTGCCAGAGTTGACGGTTGCAGCGAAGCAAAAAGAAAGAGGAATATGTCTACCGGATCGAGACATAGAGCTAAGGATATGACTCCCTTGAACATAGGCGTTTGATTGATTGATTTAAGGCAGTACGGAAAGATAACTGAAATATGTGAAGAATCACGTTTATATATAGTTGTGGAAAATATACATATCCCATATTTAAAGTAAGAGTTAGATTCCTGATAACTGCTATGTCAAAAACCCTGCTCCACTGCACGTGTTTAGTTGAAATCACCTGCAGCCATCGTTGGGGTGTCTGTCGAGCAGAAGAGGACAGAGTGTCTCCGGCAGTAAGCGGTTGTTAGGGAAGTTATACACTGGTATAAGTCTATGAACCACCCTTCTAAGTACTTCGATGCCTATAGCCTCTATATGATTTGGCGCATCCTCGTCTATACCGAACTGAGTATGTTTGATTGAGGATGGCAACGCCTCCTTCCCGGTGGCCGTTTCTGTCTTCTTTATAAAAGACATAATTTGGAATCATGTATCAGCCTTTCATGCTGTTTTCTTGCAGGGGCATGATATCTACGTCATGTTCTCTAAGGAAGTTCTCTACGTTGAACTTCTTGAGTAATCCGTTGGCGTTCCAAATAATCTTTAAGGAGTCCGGCACTAGGTGGCGTCTAGTCATTTAGTTGCCAGTTGAGACGGGTGGGTTCGCCGTAAGCATTGTGTGCAACACTGATAACTTCGTCAGTATTCATTTGAACTGGTCGAAGGCCGCACATAGACCTTCGATGGGATTAGAACTCCAACTCTTATTGCAAAAATTAATGGTTCACATATGCATGATATTTATTGGGAAAGTTAATCGTTTAGATACGACACCTACCGGACATATTGAAACTAAGCCAGATGGTAAAACAAAGTCATGTTAGTTGTTTTCATATATTGTTGTGGTTTCTTGTGCTCCCACGGATAAAAGTGATTTATTTCACCTATATCAGTTTCTTATGTATGTAACGAACACATTAAAAATATTATTCTCACAAATGAATAACTGAAAACGCGAAAAACCAAAACAATAGGCTTAATAATTTATATATTCAAGAAACACTTTACTGTGAGGAATTGTGTGAAAATCTTACATAAAGTGTATTTTGAATACGTTATGGAATTTCATCAAGTATCGGCCAATTCCATTGAAAATCATTAATGATAAAATAACAGTCTCCACTCATAATGAATCATCAATGACGAAGTAAACTCACCTCAATCATCGTGAAGAAGTTAAAATCTGAACTTTATTGTGAATCGGATGAATTATGAAATTACAGAACATATGATTACCTGGAATAATTCATTTCAACATTTTCAAATACATCGTCTTTGGAAACTATCGGAAACTTCTATGAAGAGTAATAGAGGGTTTAGTGTTAGTAAAATATTCGAAATACAGGAAGACTACCACACCACAACATCTAATCAATCAAAAACTAATTTTGGTTCATGGCATTACCGACTCATTAGGCATATTCTAGTTCTCTGCCCAACACTCAGAAACTAGTTACCGAACTGAATATTGAACATGTCCATATGTAAACCTTTTCAGTCCATAACTGACTCCCTGATTTTGGACGATTCGGAACAGTACAAATTGAGAATCAGAGAAAACGTATAGGAAAACTGTCTTCCACAGAACTCAAAATTATATCTTAGACCAAATATAATTGAGAGTTCTGTACTTACTTCTCTTGATATGACAGTCGACAGACAGACGACAGAATTCTTCGATCGAAATATTTCTTTGATTCGGAAAGTCTGTCAAAATGGTATGTTATCAAAATAGTGGTTGAATTTTAAAAATATTATGAGCATCCTACACTTAAATTATTAATGCTATTTGAAATTAGTGAAATATTCTACTTTTCTTTCGAACTGTGAAAATATTCCACGATGGTTAATTGAATTTTTTGAAATTATATATGATAATGTTCATAACCTAAGTTTTTACTGATATATATTTTCTCAATGAGGTATTGTATGCATTTTTAATCAATATCTTGAAAATTTCAGACGAAAGGTACGTCAAGTTTTGGTAAACGTCGCAACAAGACTCACACATTGTGTAGGAGATGTGGCCGATCATCCTATCATATTCAGAAGTCTCAATGTGCCCAGTGTGGATACCCATCTGCAAAATTGCGTTCTTGTAAGTATTCTGAACTTGTACTACGTCTGAAATCAATTTGTTTAAAATTCTGAAAGAATCCAAAATGTTGAGAGCAAGCTATAGTAGGTTAGTAGGTTTTATTTGGTAAATTAATTACAAACAAGATGATTTCTGCTGAATTTACCCATCTGTAGTGATGTTTTATGATATCCAAGTAGTATCGGAAAAATAACTAGAATTTCTCATATCTAAGTAACCTCAAAAATAACATTGACAGTATTGATAATTTTGACACACATTTCCACAAATGATATTGCAATTTTTTGCTTTTTATTATCTATGATTTTGAAGATTGAGAACAAGTTGAAAGTAGCAAAGTGTATAAAAATAATAGGAAGATCATTGTGGTAATGAGGTCAGCAAAAATGAAGCTTGTGGTCTCAATAGACTTGTATTTCATTTGTGTGATTAGCTCCCCCTTTCAATGATGAATTTCAAAAATTCATTTTCAAAAATTATGAATTTTCACTCGTAGTTTGCACATTGAACATTGGGATAAATGAGTTTATAAGTAGTTGAAACAATAAACATTGTATTTCTCAGTTCCTAATAAATTGGACAGTACACATAGCTAACATAACAAAATGCCTCCTCCTTTCTAAGTGAGATACGATCTATAGACTATTTCATTCAATGAAAGAGGTGGCAACCCCTTTGATCGAATATCAAAAAGTCAATTCTAGTACCCTTAAAAATTATTCCAAAATGTTATTGGTAGTAAGAGAACACCATAACTGTTATATCTTGGTCAAACTTCAGAATAAATAAATATGAATAGAATCTACTGAAAGCTCTTTCACCAGAATGAAAATTTTGCCTGTTTAATACTAAATCCTATTGCTGTGTTAGTGTTCACATGTATTTAGATGAACCATTACCTCTATTGAATTAATTCTTATTTTTGTCCCAGATGTTACTTGTTTCCTGTTTTGATACGTAATCTTTCATATTTCCTACATGTGATTATATAATAAACTAAACGAACTGTTTGGATAGGACCTTCATTGCTGTTTATAGATTTCATTTCAAAAAAAGTACCCTAGAATTTCAGGTCTATGGCTTTTTTCCTTCATCTTTATAGTGCTAATTCAGTAAAGGTATTTCTACAGGATTCTCTGTAACGTAGATCTGCAATACATCTTTTTTGCAAAGTGAATACTTTTGTCATACGGCACAGAGGCAGCTCGTCACATTTTATGCTAATGTGAGGCACTCCATCACAGTAGGCAAACAATTTATGGATAATCCAAATTATGTTCCGAAGAATATGTATATGATACCATAATACAGCTTCACTTAGAATACTGCAGTTTTCATCAAAATGAACTAACGTCTTTAAAGAAGGTGTAGAACAGATGTATGAGGGTGATTCTTCATTGCAACCGTTATACAAGCATATGGTCAATTCTTAGTGCATTGCAATAACTATCTATTCGACGAAAATATTACAGATCAGAAATAAATAATCTGTAATCCCACTTTAAGGAATTTATGGTATTCAGGCATTCTACACATAATTTCATGATGAGACAAAATGACAATTTTCACCTGCCTAAATGTAATCTGTCTGTCTGTCTATAACCTGTTTCAGTTTAAAAAAGAGTTGTCTGGTAACATCTTGATACTCATCTTGAGCCACTTTCTATCTTTGTTCTTTTGGTGATTGACTACTATAATCAATTTCAGTAGATAGATAGATAAAATTTATTTGTTCAGGATAAAAATACAGTACCTCTGAGGGCATAGAACATGTCAGTATAAATATAAACATATATCACAATAATATTAGGTTAAAAGAGGAAGGAAAGATGTACGGTACATAAACTGCACAAAAATATATGCATACATATAAAAATATTAGTACATGTAGATATAGGCTCTTAGAGTCTATGATTGTAGTAAAAGCACTCAAATAGATCAAATAATGATAGTATCATTTAAATACTCGTCAGTTGCATAGTATGCTTGTTCAAGTAAAATTGCTTTTAATTTTATTTTTAATGTTGTTTTATCGAATTCCCTCACTCTAAGAGGGAGTTTGTTGTAAATTGTTATTAGAGTATGCGGTACGTTTTTTTGAATAAATGAGAAGTTTGGAGTATTACAGGTCAAGTCTGACTTATTGCTTGTAGAGTATATGTGTGTCTTATTAGAGTTCTCAAAAAGTTTGGTGTTTTCCTTAAATAGTATAGTATCAAAAATGTACTGGCTGTACATTACAACAAATGAGCAGTTAAAAGTAACTGCCTGAATCTTAATTTATCCAGAATCTACTTTTCGATTAACTTCAATCAAACTCTATAATTATTACCTCCGTCAATAGCTGTCTTAGGTGCACAGAGAAAAGGAAAATGCTTAAAACTATCCTCTAATTTTAGGAATCAACTGTAGATTTCAGTATTCAGACCGCTCCAAAATATATCAACAATATCAGGGCTTCTACTAATGGGTAATCATCATTTTTGATATTTTTTCTTATATACGTGCTACGGCTCTCTGTTGGTACTTTCTAGAGTGTCTCCTCATATCTCAAAGAATGATATGTATGATGTAACTATAGCTTTTCCGAAGAATTTCTCCCACTACCAGATAAATTAGCCTTGAAAGCTTTTTTTTACCACAAAAAAAATGAATAAATGGTCCGACAGTGCTCGACGTGAATCTTTCATAGGTGATCTTATTATTCTTGTCCAAAAAACCTGAAAACATGTGTTATGGAATTCTCTACCGATATTTCAAGAATAGGAAATGAAAATATTGAATTGAATAATTTGACTGACCTTAGATGTTTTTAGGTTTCGAACAGTCCCTTGCTAGAACCTTGCTTTTGTGTTGGCTTTACGATAGATACTAATCTGAATTGTTTTTAAATCCTGACCGTGAAAATCTCCTCTGTTTTATTTACTCCTGCTTACTAGACAACCTACCATCCCAGCAATATGCTGATAAAATAACGAACCTACAGGGCGGCTCTACTGATTCTTCTGAATTCAGAAATTTAAACCGTTACAGAACTTTTTAACAACAGCCGAACAAGCCAAGAGCTAAACTGAAAAATCAATAGAAATTCTCAATGAAATATACTTTTTTTCACTTGGTAATCAAACTCAGAAATTCTCGGTTTTGAGGTGAATGTGTATGCACTAATTTTTTTTTGTGGTTGCAGAATTCATAGATATATTCAATCAATTAGTTTGATGAAATGCTTGAAAACACTTTTATCTAATTTCCACTAGTTATTTTATTTTTATGACTGTTTTTTGGTTTTATCCCATTATCAAGTATAAAAACTAACTAGTTTGTTAAATTCGTTAACTAACTAGTTAGTTTTTATAGTTGGTTGATGGTTGATGATGGGATAAAACTTGAAACCGGTCGTGAAAATGAAATAACTAGTGGAAATTAGGCAAAGTGTTTTCATTCATTTCATTAAAGTGATCGTAAATTTCCACAAAATAAACAAATAATTACACAAATTCAACTAATTAGTATTATAAATTTTGTTTTTCCTTTCAGATAACTGGTCAATCAAAGCTAAGAGGAGGAAGACCACTGGAACCGGCCGACTCCGTCATTTGAAAATTGTACGTCGTCGCTTCCGTAATGGATTCCGTGAAGGCCCAAAACCTGTAAAGAAATAAACATAATTAAAGACTTTTGTTATCAATAAAAATCTAAAATAATTTTAGTATCAAGTTTTGAATTCCTTAAAATTTTGTTTTCCGGAAAAATTGTTCAACTGCCAAGTTTGAAAGTGATTGAAAATGTTTCTTGTTAAACGTTGGAAATGGATTGAACAGTTTCAGTGATATTGATATTGCACTTCCAGAAATAACTGAATGTTGATACAATTATACAGTGTCACACATAAAGTCCGCATCAAATGAGATTTTTTTTGTTCATCTCTTCAAGCAACTTTTGATATCTCCATTAGGTTGTGCTTTAAAAATGATGCCAAGTGACATGCATATGACCGATCAAATGATTTTTCTTCCCTGTCCAATTTGACATTTTTTCCAAAAAATGTTCAGAAAAGCAGTTATTGCTCGAAATTTCGGAAATCGGTAAAGAGAAAAGATGATTGTTTTTTCATTTTTTACCCATATACCAATTTTTAGCTCTCTAGTACAAATTTAGTTTTTTTATTCTCAAATTTAGCCAAACCTCAACAAAGTTAGTGCTTTATGCCTAACTTATCTTTCCAACGCATTTTTATTACCAATTGCAATTCTAAATATAACTTATTTCGCAAACATTTAAAACACCAGAAAAAATTATGCCAAAAATGATGCAAAGTTGATACAGTTTTTAAAAACAGATAAATATTTCACTTTATTTCTACTTTTTGCATTTAAAAATTGTATCAACTTTGCATCATTTTTGGCATAATTTTTTCTGATGTTTTAAATGTTTGCGAAATAAGTTGTATTTAGAATTGCAATTGGTACTAAAAATGTGTTGGAAAGATAAGTTAGGCATAAAGCACTAACTTTGTTGAGGTTTGGCTAAATTTGAGAAATCGGCAAATGTCAAATTCTCGAAAAACTGTTTAAAAACTAAATTTGTACTAGAGAGCTAAAAATTGGTATATGGGTAAAAAATGAAAAAACAATCATCTTTTCTCTTTACCGATTTTCGAAATTTCGAGCAATAACTGCTTTTCTGAATATTTTTTGGAAAAAATGTCAAATTGGACAGGAAAGAAAAATCACTTGATCGGTCATATGCATGTCATTTGGCATCATTTTCAAAGCACAACCTATTGGAGATATCAAAAGTTGCTTGAAGAGATGAAAAAAAAAACCCATTTGATGCGGACTTTATGTGTGACACTGTATAATGGAAGTCACAACTGATGACCTAAAAATATTATGTTGCTTATAAATGAAGTCAGTTTTAGAGATCAGTTATTCTTACCATTGTATGCTTAATTTTTACATTTGGGTGTTTTGAATATTCATATAAAGCCTGTTCTGGTTCTCTACCCGGACTGTTCCTGACAGTCTGAAAGCAGTCACCCAACTGAATACTGAGCATGTTGTTACGTAACCTTTTCAGTCCACAGCTGACTCACTGACTTTGGACCATTCGGAACAGTACAAACTTAGAACCAGAACAAACCTATAGAAAGGTTATCTCATGAGTATTATCCAATCTGATGGAGGTGATTGAGGTTATTCCTGATAAAAAAGTTCATATATTGAAGTCTTATTCATCAATGTTTCTAGTAAATTTTACATTAATGATTTTTGCAGAAAACACTTGTGGCGAGTAAATATCTTAAATTAGCTTGAGGACATTTTCAATGATTTTTTCTAAAGTAAATGGATACTTGATCTTTCAATTCACAGTATGTTTGTGAAAACTTCTCAGTTTTTAGAACATCTGACAGCCTAATTTCTTTTTTACATTTCTGTTCTTTTGAAAGATTAGTTTAAATGTGTGTAACTAAACCAATCGTGAATAATTTACTTCGTGCTGAACAAAACAGGGTTTGACTTTTTCACAAATCCTAAGTCAGTTTTTTAAGATGTTCTACCCCCATCCTTAATATGAAAATCCAATCTGTAATGAATAATCAACACTTACATCGGCCAATATTTACCAAAAAATTATTTTGGTTTCCTAGTAATATCTCTGTATGTTTGAACATGTATGGGCTTGTACCAAAGCACAAGTGCGTTTATTTTCTGCGGCCTGCTAGTTTTTATCCCTGACATTTCGTCTGCGACTGCGGTAGACATTATTGAAAACGATAAGGCAAAGGACAAAGAAGATACTACATTCCATTGATAGCTTCGTTTTTATTGGTTGAATTGAATAGCATGCAATTTCCTGCTACAAACAAGAATTGAAGTGGCCCAAAATATATAGTTTTGGTGTACTTCTATACACACAAAAATAATTATGTAGAGGAAAATGTTTTCAAGGTCAGCAATTTGAAGTCTGGGTTGAACCGCGTCTGGTGTTTTTAGTTGTTAGACTTCGACTTTGAAAGCTATTTTCAAGACTACATCGAGGTCTCAATCTGCCTACCTCTCGAGTAGTGACACGCTTCAAGGGTTTTGTGACTTGACGCCAGGGTCTCAATTTGCCTACTCACCAGGTCTTGTCACTGGTGTCCGAAAGGGTCTCCATTTGACTACGGTTGACGCTTTCGAGTAGATGATCACTTGGACCTCTACCCATTTCACACACTTTGTCGAAAACTTTCGATCTACAGCACTTTTGATAAAGAAATATGGAGATTCTATAAGTTTCAGTGTCCCATTCATAGAGGTACTGAGTACACTAAAGTGTTCACTGTTTGACAATGTCAAGCTGTTATTTTAATTTTCAATGTTTACATTTTGAAATAAATTGATAGTAAGTGAAAGATTTTTTCAAAATATGATTCAAAATGCGAGCGATCAATTTCGATTCTGGCACCATGTGTAGAAAGTTGTGACAATCACCCTTCTTTGTCCTTGGAAAGTTTTTGATAAAACCTTTGCATATAATATAGACTATAGACTATCCATACAAAGATAAAACAAATCGGTTTCTGTGCATCTTGTACGAATTATGAATGTAATTTGTGACGAGTTATTCTATTTGTGAAACATATATTATTATTATTATTTTTACAAAATTTTTTAGGTGTACATTTTACGATAACGTTTTCATTGTTGAAATCCATATTCTGGTTTGCTTTCAAATAATCGAATCAGATTTTAAAATCTATCTTTTGTTTCGTTCAAAACTTTTTTCTGTACTAAATCACGGGTAATTGAAAATATTTAAATATCTAAATATTTCATCTGTAGTACAAAATTTCGCTAACACTTATATTTCTTGAAATCCATTTTTTTAAATTTCATATTGAAAAACCTATCAAGGAGGTTACGTACAGCGCCATCTGCCCGCGAATAGACCAAGCAGTAATGTCGATAATTCTGTCAATACAGATCCCGAGTTCGGGAGTTACAAACAAACAAACATACATACATACAATATAAAGCGTGTAATAAAAAAGGTAGATGAGATTAGAAAGAATGGCAAAGGTGGCTGTGACTTTTATAAAGATTACCATATGCACAAGGGAATTAATTTTTAGTACAGATTTTGAGTGAAACAAGTCTGAGAAAAAGAAGTGAACGTCCCTGGAGTAATTGTTTCAGATGAGTCGTAAAGTGTTGACTTATAATTAATACTGCAATTAGTATCTATTCTTAACAGTAGTACCTACAGTACCTAGCTTGGTCGATTAATCGGATGCATAGTATGTCATACTTGTCATCAAGAGTATCAATAACTGAGAGTAGGTAATGAAGGAAAACCGAAGGTTATAAATGTCAAGAGCTTAGCTGAGTACTAATGCCAATAAAAGGAACTGGATAAACAGACTTGACGCTACATGGCATTTCAGAGGAGGTTACGAACAATGACTAGTGAAATAGTATCGTAAATCGCCAAATGAACTTCAAACGGAGATAGCATACGCAAATAACTGGAATCCGCTCCTGACCAGCTCTATTATTTCAGAAAGAAGTTCATTCACGTAACAAAATACGCCACTTCTCTGTTTTCAATTATTTTGGGCCAACAACGTAAACAAAGGTTGTACAAACAAAGAATAACTCGCAAACAATGAGTTGGTACTTGATGAGAAAACCCGCTATTTTCTGAAAGAAATCAAGTGTTTTTTTACATTTTTTAATTGGGAAGTATCCATTGTATTGGCGAATTTTGGATTATACTTCTTCGTTTGAATACGATAGGGAAATGAAAGGTTTTACTTTATTAATTATCCTATTCAAGAATTGCCTCACGAACGAGTACATAATTATGTGCCCCAGGAAGAAGGGACATAAGTGATCTCCAAAAATATACAAGTAGGAATTTTTTTTTTGGATTTATCATCACACTTTACAATTCATAAAATATCAAACACCATTTGAAAACAAAACAATTGCATAATATACATTTTTTTACTCCATGAAAACTATCTCTGATGAAGAAAAAATGAAAATTATAAACATTTCAGAATAACAAAGTCTTGAAAAATAATTTTTACATGAATAATTCACAAAACTCCAATAATTTTCCCTATAAAAAATCGGTCGGACCGTCAGTATAGGTATTCACCAATTTATTTTCATGAGCGTGCTAAAAATATGAATGATAGCTCATTGGATTGAAAATGACTTGCGAGGAATTATGTGGCCCAGAAAGAAGGGATATAAGTGGTCTCGAAAAATATACAAAATAGAAAATTTCGTAAGCGCGCGTTCTAAAAATATGAGCAATACCTCATAAACACACAAATGCACTCACACAGATATATAGGAAACATTTCACACTGCCTCTCAGCTGCATGAAAAACCATATCGAAGTAAACACTGGAACTAAAATTCACTTGGAACTGAACACAGCAAGAACAAAGCCAATGACGAGACTTTGGGGTCAGGTGAATTACCTCGTCGTCGCAATGACGAACAGGATATATACACCATGTTTTACCTGCTGTAGAACTTATATCAGCAAGATCAAAGAACGAAGTTCCAACAGAGCCTATGAAAATCAATAAGCTGTTCGCAAATCAGATCCAGCCTCATCCCTCTACAAACATCACCTTGAAACAGGCCACACAATAAGCTTCAAAAAAACCAAAACCATTGCTACAAATAAAACTTCATGCCAGGATAA